GGTGCTCCTGCCCTTGGCAGTGACGTCCTGGAGGACCGCCAGTTCGAGCTTGCTTTCCTCTCCGAGGCTGCTCCCCATCTCTGTTCCATGCTGCTAGTCCCTGAGAGTGACCCAGACGCTTTCGACATCCCGACCCCTCGCACTTACGCTAAGGCGACTTCGGGACCCTGGGCCTCACAGTGGATAGCTGCCATGGAGCAGGAGATGGCATCTTGGAGATCCACCGGCACCTTCGTCGACGCAGTTCCCCCACCTGGGGTGAACGTAGTCGATGGCCGCTGGCTCTTCAAGGTGAAGCGCCCTCCTGGAGAGCCGCCTGTCTTCAAGGCGCGCTATGTCGCTAGAGGCTTCAGTCAGCGCGAGGGGGTGGACTTCTTCCAGACTTTCGCTCCGACCCCGAAGATGACTACTCTTCGGGTTCTGTTACACCTAGCTGCTCAGCGTGACTACGAGCTTCACTCCCTCGACTTCTCCACTGCCTTCCTTCAGGGCAGCCTACACGAGCAGGTCTACCTGCGTCGCCCTCCGGGCTTTACTGGCACCTTCCCTCCTGGGACCCAGTGGCTCCTGCGGCGCCCCGTCTACGGCCTGCGCCAGGCTCCCCGTGAGTGGCACGACACTCTTCGTGCTACCCTTGCTGACCTGCAGTTCTTTCCGTCTTCCGCAGACCCTTCACTCTTCGTTCGTGCTGGCCAGACTCCGTTCTACATCCTGGTTTACGTCGACGACCTGGTCTTTGCCACGGCAGACAGGGACGCACTGGCCTCCGTGAAGGCAGAGCTGCTGAAGAGACACACCTGCACTGACCTTGGAGAACTGCGCCGTTACCTTGGCTTGCAGATCTCCAGGGACAGAGCTGCGCGCACCATCACCCTGACTCAGTCACACTTGGTGCGCCAGGTCCTTCAGAGGTTCAGCCTTCAGTTCTCCTCTGCACAGCCCACCCCTCTGCCTGTAGACCACAGACTCTCCGCTCCAGTACCTGAGGAGGTGGTAGAGCCCAGTGGCCCCTACGCAGAGCTGGTGGGTTGCCTCATGTACCTGATGACTTGCACTCGCCCAGATCTCGCATACCCTCTCAGCATCCTGGCGCGCTTTGTGGCCACAGGCAAACACCGACCGCAGCACTGGTCTGCCGCTAGGAGGGTTCTGCGTTATCTTGCTAGTACATCGGGCATGGGGTTAGTGCTTGGAGGACGCAGGCCAGTGGTCCTTACTGGACACACAGACGCTTCGTGGGCAGACGACGCTGAGACACTCAGGTCTACCCAGGGCTACTGCTTCAGCCTTGGCTCAGGTGCCGTCTCGTGGAGAGCTACCCGCTCCTCGTCTGTTGCGCAGTCCAGCTGTGAGGCTGAGATCTACGCTGGTGCCATGGCGGCACAGGAGCTCCGCTGGCTGACCTTCTTGCTCACTGACTTAGGTGAGCGGCCTAGCTTTGCCCCGGTCCTGTTCGCTGACAACAGGGCCATGATCCTCCTGTGTCAGGAGCCTCGACTCGAGGGCAGAGCGAAGCATATTCAGCTGCGGTACTTCCTCCTGCGTGAACTACAGCAGCGACGGCAGGCTCGCGTTGTACACTTGGCCTCAGGTGCCAACACAGCTGATATCTTTACGAAGGCGCTTGCGCCTAAAGATCATCAGCGGCACTGTGTACAGCTTGGTCTTGTTCCTGTCGCTTCTCACTTGCTAGGACCTTGACTTGTACTGTCCTTTATATGTATACTCAGACTGGACTTGTGTCCTCTCCCAGTGGCTGGACTAGTAGTGCCGCCTTGGTCTTGTTCTTGCCTTGTCTGTACTCCTTCTGACTGGTCTCTCAGACCCTTGTCTCAGAGGTTGGACTAGTAGTGCCGCCTTGAGCTGCTTGTTTAGGGTATTCCCCTATGCAGTCTAGGGGGTGTGTCAAACATCTGTATTTGTCATGTTTGTATAGACTGTATAGGGTTACCTCTTAGAGGGTACAACACTTAGGTATATTTGTGTGTACTCTCACTTTACCAAACTATTCAATTTCAATTCTGATACTCTCTACTGTATTTCGAACCCCCCCACCCCCCCCCCCCACTTTTTCCCTCCCCGTTTCGCTTCCTCTCTTCCCCTATGTTTCCATCCTCCCCCTTCCCCTCCGTTTCGCTCTTCCCCTCCCCTCGGTTTGATTCCCTCCCCTTTTTCCCCCCGTTTTTTATTCCCCCCTCGTGTTGAAGGCAACCCTGAATGCGTTCGGTGAACCCTGGGATTTTCAGGGTTCTTGATTTCTGAACACTTACAAATCAGGGTAGGCAAATTTTGAACACTGAGCCCTCAGGGTAAAATTGTTTTTTTAGTCAACAGCTCAGGGGGGGTTTTTTTGAAACGTTAGGCCTGCAGCGGGGCCTATTTGTTGAGTGACCCGCTGGGGTTGCCCTTGAGATCCTCGGGGAAGGGCCACAGGTGCAGAGCCTAGGGGGCTATGGGCGCACTAACCCGCTATTAACAAGCCCTTTTAACCCAGTGGTTAGTGACTGGGTTTCTGACACTATTTTCCTCATTATGAGGTTAGCTATCCTTTCCTTGTTTTGTTTCAACATTCTTACCGTACCGAGACTGAACAGTTGGACCCAAGTCGTTCGAGAAGTATAAATGCTCTAGTGCGTGTTAAGCATCTGCCTATCCCTTTGCCTGAGCTGAGTGGAGCTAATCTTCTCATCCATGCCTACGTGCTCTCCCCCCTCGTCCACTAGATGAACCACAATCACCTGATGGAAGGAACAAGGGCGCGGTGAGACAGAAAACGTGCGCAGTAAGACACAATACAGAAGACACAAGTACCGCATTCTAATCACCATGAGTACTGTCATCACTCATATCCACCATCACTCACATCTAGGGGCTTGAGCCCATTGGCCACGCGCTTCTCATTGACGGCATGGCCTCCTTTCTCCGTCTCAACGCTGATGCAAGGGATTGAGCAGGGATAAAAAATCACCACAAGAACACATGTAGCTCAGCTATTCCTTCATGCTAGAGACAACCCAAATGCAACGTCATGGCCCTGACTGACTATCACAAATGGACATGCACGAATTCAGTTCAGCTGAAAAGGGAAACAGAAAACTAATAATGACCTAAGAGCCGATCACCTGACAGCAATGGCGTCCATGTGTGGGTCAGTGATGGAGGGGCCAAAGGGGTCCTCTATGGCCACTGCTTCCACCCTCACGCCTGGCTTTTCCCCCTGCCCCATCTCCAATGCCCAATGCCCATGCCCATGCCCATGACCATGACCATGACCATGAACAAGCCCATGGCCCATGTTCAGCATGGCGCATGCATCGTGGTCGAGCACACGGGCAGTTCAGAGGCCAGACAACGAGAGCACGGAAAAAAGGTGCAAGATGGGGGGGGAGGGGGAGGCGGGGGGGATGAGGAGGGATTAGGAAAAGGGGAACGGGGGGGGGCAAAGGGAGGTAGAGAGTAAGGATCAGGAGTCATAAATTTGAGAATGTGTTTGAGAGAGGTTCCATACATACGCGGAAGGAGGCACCCAAGTGGAACCTGGAGTAGGGGGCAAGGCTTGGAGCCAGCGCACCTGGAGGAAGTGGGTGACGGCCTGCTGGCGCTGCTCGAATGGTTGGATCAGCTCGCACAGCTGGTGCTCGCACACCACACCACGGAGCACCACAGCACGCACAGAGCGGGAGACATTTGTATGGTAGAAACACGTGGCTGCTCTTGGCGAACGTCCAAGTGGCGGGCAGAAGGGCAAGGCATGCTAAAGCGCGTGCTAGGTAGGACTCGGTAAATCTGTGCAGGTGCTAGCTCAAGCGCTGTGGCGCGGCATTGTGGAGGGAGATGCTGGATTTGCAAGTACCTCTTTGGACTGCAGCATGCGCCCCACCGTGATTCCCACTACCACTCGTTGCTGCGCTGCTGCTGCTGCTGTCTGTGTTGAGGCAAAGAGATTGAAGGACAGACAGAGGGAGAAGAGGACTGAGAAGCGGCGAGGTTGGAGGCAGAGGGAGGCGAAGAGTGGCTGAGGAATTATGCAGACAGAAAGGAATAGAGGAGAGGCAAAGTGGCATGCGCGGGTTGTGGGAGGTGGAAGTGAGTGCCTGGGGCTGAGCGCGTGCGTGCACCCCGCCACCCACCCTTAATAGCAGTCGGTGCCCATCGTGCAGGCGGTCGAACGTGCCCCCCACCACCACGCACGAGTACGCGTCGCTCAGCTTCCGCCCGCCCGCTTCCTCGCGCAGAACGTGAATCACGCGCGGTGAGGCCCGGCCCCCAAACTGCTCCCCCGCCCTGCTGGCGATAGCGCCGTCTGGCGGTGGTGTGGCGGGCATGACCGCGGACTGTGAAACTGGTGTGGGGCGGAAAGGGCTGCTGCGCGGGAAGGGCGGCGTGGGAAGAGGCAAGGCGAGGAGACTTCGATGGGAGTTGGTGGTGGGAGGAGAGCAGCGGTTAGGCGTGCAGGGAAGACGGCGTTAAGACGAGCACTCTGTGAAGCGACGTGCTGGGGGGGAGTGATCGGCGCAGCGAGGTAGTGGTGATGCGAGCAGGAGTGGTGCTGGCGGAAGGCAGTGGATCGAAGGATACTCGTGGGGGCCGTTCGCTGGCAATTTTCCGAGGGGAACGGGGAGGGGAACGGCCGACCAAATCCCGCGCGCATGGAATCTACGCAGCCAAACCTACGTTTTTTTTTTTGTGTGCCCCTGTACTTTGGTAATCATAACGTCGTCGGCTATGATTACGTCGGTCACGACTGCAGGACTGGATAAGACAAACTCGCGGACAGTGAAGAGTGGGGCCCATCAAAAGCCCTCTTAGCCCATCGCACTTTCGTGGAAAATCTAGCGGAGAAAATGCGATTCACACAATTTTGTCAAAACTGCCCATTTTTTTAACATTTCAAAATGTGACCGATTGGATGGGTATGAGCTGGCGCAATTGCACAAATCGACGGGTAGGATTGAAGGGGAAGTGGCTGAGGTTTTTTTTTGGGTTTCGTAAATCTGCCCAGCCAAGAGGCATGCCAAACTTGGCCTGCCTCATACCACGATTTTGCAGTATGAGGTGTGGCATGGAGTTTTTTTGACGTTTTTTTAACACGTCGAAATATTGATTCGCCAAAGTGTAAATGTGTTGAGGTCCACCTACAGTATCATTAGCAAAAAGCGCGGACTCGAGCCCCGCCCGTGTCTCGACAAATGAGCGGGTGCGCAGCGCGCACATAACAGACGGACATGCGAAAATAGCAGGGTAACTGAATTTCGCCCTAGGAAATAGGCCCTTCCTGCTTTCGCGAACACGCATTACAAGCCGCGACTCCACCCAAGGGGGAAAAATGGAGGGCTCAATTTCCCCCTCGCCAGAGAAAAAAAACACAGAAACACAGGACGAATTCCAATTCTTCTTCCGCTTTTTTCGCCGTGCTTCGCAAGCGTTATGAAAGCCTGACGAATGTAAGCGTTCTAGTTTTCGCCAGCCAGGATTTGGACGTTTCTGCCGTGTATATAATTTGGGCACGATTTTCATTCGGTTCGGAAACGTGCGGCCCACGTCTGTGTGCACGTTTGGAGGGTGTCCGCCAAAACCGTCAATTTATCGTGCATGTCCGAATGGACACGAAATTTTGGGTTACCAGTTAGAAATTTTGTACCTGATATGCAAAGTGAATTGTAAACGAACGCGCTGGACACGCCCTGAAATGTGTTGTTTTGTTGCAGCTACAAAATACACCGCTACCACAGTTCGTTTCGGGTTTGCTTTCTCTGGTCACATGTGCGAAACACTCCGCACCACCTTTCTGGGTCGATCACACATCGGCTGGGTTCTGCAGGCAGTGGAGTAGGCAGCGGAGGTGGAGTTCAGGAAGTAGAACATATTATTTCGCATGTAATCGTAACCACCCAGCCCACTTTGGGCCTTCCCAGCACCGTGAAGCTGCGCAGGCCAATCGGGGAAAGCGCGCAAGTGATTTCGACAAGGCAACAACAGAAACAAAAATGATGGATGAACAACTGCCTCGGGCCAGGGTAAAAGGTTGTGAGAGGAGTGCGTGGTGCTTTGAGGAGCTGAAGTCGTGAGAGGTTTGTTTTCTTTCTGGGCATGTGCGTCTTGGTTTTGTGGGAAGTGTTGTCCAACTGTAGGTATTTTGTGAAGTGATGTGGTTGTTGTTCTTGATTTTTTTTTATTTTATTTTTTTTTTAATCGGGTTGCGGAGCAACCTATTGCAATCGATTTTGCCGATTATTTTTTCACACGGATTTTGGGAATTATAAGCACTACCTACAAAATCGAACCATATTTTTGGACTTCCTCCTGATGTAATTAGTAAAGGGAAAGTATATCGGCGCTCAGTATTAGGGGCCTCGATAGCATGTACGGTCAGTGGCATTATATAAACAATCAGAATTAACAAGTTCTCAACATGACTCATCAGTCGGATTCCACCGTTAGTCAGAAATTCCAGGAAAAAAGTTCTACGAATGGTCGGTAGAAGTAACCCCCGCCCGTCTCGGAACGTTTTCCCGCCCGCGCCAGCCCAATTTTGTCATCATTGTGACTGGCGCAATATTTTTCCCGAGCTCCAGACGCGGTTCGAGCAAAAAAATGCAATATGCCCAAATTAATATTCATTGGAAATTTGTTAGTCGAGACACACGAAAACACGATTTTGTTTCGAAGGACATACTTTTGACGCAGAGGGTAGCGCGGCCCGCGATGACTAAAAATGGCGGCTTTGTCTCTACCGCAAATACGGCCCCCAAAAAAAGTCCAGACATAAACTTGTTCTCATTCCCGAGTCGCTCGAAAACAATAACATATATAGATAGCTACAAGGGTTTTTTTTGGAAATGAATATATTTAAAATCACGTCAAGCTACTCTCAGAACCGCATTTAATATTGCATTTATTTTGATAAAACAAATCTATTAGAAGTCGGTCGGTTGTCTTTTGATTTTTTTCAACGAATGTATTTACCGGAAAAGTTTTCCGCCGAATTACCACTCTAGATTATCTTGTCAATCTTGAAACAAATTAGCGCACACGCACTACAGTTTAATTTTCACGCCTCGTTGGCTTGGAGCTGGTCCCTGATAGATTTTCCCTTTTCTGTCAAATGTTTTCATTTTATGTGCGTTTGTTAATGCTTGAAAAATGTCGCACCCGATGTATGGCCCGCCTATGGCCCAATTAACTTGTGACATAAATGCGCAAGGTCTCAATTTTGGAATTTTGTGTGCGCGACGCCCAATGATTTGTAATTTGGGAATACTTTACGTAGTTCTCTCGTACCGCGCCTGGAGCTTGGGAATTTTTTCGCGCCAGCCGCAATGATGACAAAATTGGGCTGGCGAGAGCTGGAAAATGTTCTGAGACCGGCAGGGGTTACTTCTACTGACCATTCGTGGAACTTTTTTCCTGTTGTTTCTGACTAACGGTGGAATCCGACTGATGAAACAAGTTGCGAACTCGGTAATTCTGATTGTTTATATCATGTCACTGACCGTACATGTTATCGAGGCCCCTAATACTGAGCGCCGATATACTTTCCCATTAGTAAATCACATTTCTTTTGTAATATATATGCAATCTTTGAAAGATTGCATGCTGATTGTTGATAATTCCAACAGAATTTCTACTATCAGATTTAGGCAAATTTCGTGTTTGATTGCATCGCGCCATTAGCAACCGATCCAATCGAATCATGCTCTAAATTTTTACATGTCATGGTCCATGTCATGAATCTACAATAAATTTTATGATTATTATGCGATACTGTAGCACTATCATGGTGGGGAAATCAGCAAGCCTAGTGTTTGAGTAATCAACAATGTTATAAAACAACACAATCTGTGAAGTCCAAAAAGAGAACCGTACCCATCAAATCCAGTTCATGAGACTACACTCAAGGAGCGCACCTATGAACCGTATACGATATGATAGGCAAGGTTTCTCATTTTGAAAAGCGCAGGCATGCATTGCCAATCAATGAGAATGGGTGATGATGGGATGGAACGGTATATGACAATAACATGACTGCACACACCGAACAGAAGTCAGAATAGTTCAAAACGATGAAGCAAAATATTATGCAATCAGAAAAATGCAGAACAAGCACATTGCAATTTCAACATCTAAAATGGTGGTTCAAGTTGGGACCATGCATTCATATTAGAAGAGCCAACGAAATAACAGAATTAAAGAACGTGGATAAAAGACTTGGAAATAGAAAGAACGAGCACGAACGAGGCAATAGAGAGTAGGGAGAAAAAGTGCGACATACATTACAGGTTCCCGTAAGACGGATTAGGCGCAAAGCTAGAAGGGAATGAAATGATGAGAGGAAAGAAGGATTGAAAACGACGGAAGGGAAGGGAATGAAGGTATGAACGGAAGCAAAAGTAGGCATGGAATCGAAAAGAAGGCAACGTATGGAAAGGAGGAGAGGGAAAGGGCAAGGCGGAAAGGGGTGGATATCAAAGTTAACGAATTACTAGAAAGGTGGGCTAAACTCTCTAAGGCACAACCCTGTATAGTCTATAACAACATACAAAGATATATTTAACACACCCCCTAGACTTGATAGGGGCAGTGCTTGGTGAGAGACAAGCAGCTCAGGGTGGCACTACTAGTCCAAGCTCTGAGACAAGGGTCAGAAGACCAGTCAAACGAGTATAGACAAGGCAAGAGCAAAACCAGGGCGGCACTAGTCCAGCCACTGGGAAGAGGCCACAAGGCCAGTCAGGGTAATATATATAAAGGTCTGTACACAATCAAGGTCCTAGCAAATGAGAGGCTACAGTAACAAGACCAAGCTATACACAGTGCCGCTGATGATCTTTAGGCGCAAGCGCCTTAGCAAATATATCAGCTGTGTTGGCACTAGAGGCCAAGTGTACTACGCGGGCCTCGCAACGCAGCTGAAGCTCACGCAGGAGGAAGTACCGCAGTTGGATGTACTTCGCTCTGCCCTCGGGTCTGGCCTCCTGATACAGGAGGATCATGGCCCTCTTGTCAGCGTACAGGACCGAGGTAGAGCTAGACCGGGGTAGAGCTAAGTCTGTGAGCAAGAAAGTCAGCCAATGGAGCTCCTGTGCCGCCATGGCACCAGCGTAGATCTCAGCCGCACAGCTAGACTGGGCAACAGACGACGAACGGGTGGACCGCCACGAGACAGCACCTGCACCAAGGCTAAAGCAGTAGCCCTGGAAGGACCGGAGAGTCTCTGCGTTGTCGGCCCAAGAAGCGTCTGTGTGCTCGGTAAGGACCAGTGGTCTGCGTCCTCCTCGCACTAGCCCCAAGCCCGATATACTTGCTAGATAACGCAAAACCCTCTTAGCTACCGACCTGTGCTGTGGTCGGTGTCTGCCGGTGGCCACAAAGTAAGCCAGAATGCTGAGAGGGTATGCGAGATCTGGGCGAGTGCAAGTCATCAGGTACATGAGGCAACCCACCAGCTCTGCGTAGGGACCACTAGGCTCTACAGCCTCCTCCGGGATTGGAGCAGAGAGTCTGTGGTCTACTAGTAGAGGGGTGCGTTGTGCGG